CTACATCCCAGAGATCAAGAGTTGCATGCTCCACCAAGTAAGGCTTGTTCCTGGAAAGGTTTGAACTGTGCTGTTAACATGAGGTCTGCTGGCTTTTCTGCTGTGAAGCGAGATCTGCAAGAACTCTCCGCACGCTGACTCTGTCCACATCCCTTGCACTAATGGACTTTGCTCAAATTCTCCTGAGGCTTCTGGCAGCCCAAGACCTAAGCCTAAGGCCACTGGGATGACCCAGCCCCCTTGAGTGCCAGTCTGGCAGAGTTAAAGGTTGATGAAAGAATTGACTGTTTGTTCCAGCCAGCCCCAGAAGATGGGCTCCTGACATCCCATTCTTAGAGCCTTTGTAGAAAAACCTTACAACTGTTTAAATCCCTTCTCTGAAATGTCCCTCTGAAATGGCGTCCTCAGGAAGGCTGGGGTCTCTGTCTCCCTGTCTCAGAGGGAGGGAGAAGCCTGACTTCACAAAGCACCTCATGACTTTGACAATGACAATGACCAACCGTCTTAGCTGCTTCTTGCGGTTTCTCAGTCCCTGACTCTGTAGAGTCCCCGGTCTGTTTTTACCTCCCGCACCTTGACCCTGGCTTTGTTGATCTTTGACAAAACATAACTCTTTTTCCCATTGAAACTTCTCTTTGTCGGGTCACACCTTGAGGCTCTGAGGAAAAAAAATCCTGTTACTCCTCAAACTTTCCCCGACTGATTTTAACCACCATTAGGGATCCTTGCCCAAGTCACTTACTAGCCCAATGGTCATTTTCTTTCTTTTTTTTTTTTTTTAAGATTTTATTTATTTATTTGACAGACAGAGATCACAAGTAGGCAGAGAGGCAGGCAGAGAGAGAGAGGAGGAAGCAGGCTCCCTGCTGAACAGAGAGCCCGAAGTGGGGCTCAATCCCAGGACTCTGAGATCATGACCTGAGCCGAAGGCAGAGGCTTTAACCCACCGAGCCACCCAGGCGCCCCCCAATGGTCATTTTCTAATTCCGTTCTTTCTACATTGGTGAAAAAGAACGTTCCCTTCTCGTCCACTTGAGTACATATTTGAATCATTATGAATTCATAAATTCTTAAATTAAAAAATTCATATTTTACTCAAGGGTTATACTTCTTTGTTGTTATTTATTGGGATGTCCATGTTGTCCATGGTTGGCCAGGGTGTCATTTTCTGCATTTACACCCTCCTGATGGAAAGAACTGGGAAACAGGTGTGCATATATATATATACATGTATGTATATACATATATACATATATATACATATATACATATATATACACATATATATATATACATATATACATATATATATATATGCACACCTGTTTCCCAGTTCTCTCCATCAGGAGGGTGTATATAGTTAGTTCATATACATATATATATATATGCATACATATGTTGAGGGGCTCCTGGGTGGCTCAGTCAGTTAAGCATTTGCCTTCGACTCAGGTCATGATCCCAGAGTCTCAGGAATGAGCTCAGAGAGGAGTCAGCTTCTCCTTCTGACCCTCCCCCCACCTCATGCTCTCTCTTTCTCAAATAAATAAATAAAATCTTAAAAAGAAATGTTGTTTAAAAAAAGAAAACAAGGGGTGCCTGGGTGGCTCAGTGGGTTGAGCTTCTGCCTTTGACTCAGGTCATGATCTCAGAGTCCTGGGATCGAGTCCCATATCGGGCTCTGCTCTGCGTAGAGCCTGCTTCCTCCTCTCTCTCTCTGCCTGCCTCTCTGACTACTTGTGATCTCTCTGCCAAATAAATAAATAAATTCTTAAAAAAAAAAAAGAAAACAAAATTCAAACAAGGAAATGTGAAGATCTCACTGGCTTTAATATTAAATGATTCATGAATTGGGCAGCATCCCCATCTAGCAAGTAGAGGGGAGCCCTAAAGCGCCCTAGAAAAGGAAAAGTTTTTAAAGGCAGGACTTAACTAACCTACTAACCTATAACTAACTTCCCGATCACCTGCTTCTCCTGTGCAACACCCCCCATACCCTTTTTCCGTCCTTCCTCCTTTAAAACCTTCCAGCTTCCCTTGGGTGCGGTTGGGTGTGGGGAATGGTCTCTGAGACATTAGTCCACCATCTTCACAGGTTGCCGGCTTCCTGAATAAAGCCTTTCCTCTCCCACATTGATTTTCAGGCAGTGAGCAGCAAAATCTGAGTTCTAGCCAGGTTCTCTGTCCAGTAACAATATGATATACATACTGATTTAAATATCATGGCCAATGAGACTTGGTGACATTCACTGAAATTCTCTACCTGTGTATTTACTTATTTTCTTTTAAAGATTGTATTTATTTATTTATGAAATGGAGGGGGATAGGGAGAGAATGAACAGCGGGGAGGGGCAGAAGGAGAGGGAGAAGCAGACTGTCCACTAAGCAAGGAACCCGGATGGGGGACTCCATCCCTGGACTCCGGGATCATGACCTGAGCTGAAGGCAGTAGCTCAACCAACTGAGCCACCCAGGCGCCCTGTACTTACTTTTTAAGTGCTGTGTGCAACCATAAAGTGGGACCTGAACCCAGGACCCCAAGATCGAGAGTTGCGTGCTCTGCCCACGGAGCCAGCCAGGCACCCCCTCTTCCTGACAATTTTAGAAGAGCTTAAAATCAGAAAGAAAGACACATAAATTGCTTATTTTCCAGATGCCCCATGCAGTGAGATAGGCCCGGGGGGTGAGAAAGGACACCTTTTCATCCCCACAGGCTCTGCGGGGAGACTGAAAGAGGGCGGGACCCCCAGTTTGGGGGACAGGAAAAAGCCTTTGAAATGCTGATGAGCTCCGGTTCGCACTGAGCAGGTTGCTCGGAAACTGAGCGCGTGGGGACTGCGTCCCGGATTTGGGGACTGGGTCCCAGAACGTGCATGCTTGTAACAGAGGTGAGGGAGGCGAGAGGGGCAGGGGCCCGCTGAGCTGGGACAGGGCGCGGCCGAGCCCCAGCCCGTCGCCCCGCGGAGGGGGCCCTGCAGCTGCGCTGGCCTTCGGGGGCGGTCCAGGGCTGGGGCGGCATTGAACGCGGGTGGCCTTGCGGAGGGGAGTAGCGCACGAGAAGCGCAGCTGCTTGCGCAGCCCCGGGCCCAGCCCATTCCCAGGGAGAATCCCGTGGCCCCCCGGGGGCAGCACTGGGGGGCGCCACAGCGTCACCTAGAATCCGCACATTGCGCCACTCGGGTCCTCTTCATCCAGTAAGTATAAGTCCGATTACACGTCAGCGGACCTGGAGGGGCCACCCAAACCCATTCCCCGGGAGGGGGCCCGAGCCCCTGATCACTCAGCACTAGCAATGCTTGGTGGCCGCCCTGCCCCCTTGCCACCAAAACTGTACCAAGAGGGCACCAGCGGGGCAGCGGGGGGGCATGCATTGTCTCTCCCCAGTATGGAACTTCACCCTCCTCCCTTGATGGTCGGGGTCCTCTCCTCCTGCCAGATTTCTGGGCACAAGGAGCTCCAAGGCCCAGGAAGCAGGTAGCTTGGAGCCTAACAGTCCTGCTGTGTCTTCTGGTGGCTATGTTGTCCCTTCAGGAGCCAGGGTCCCTGGTCGCACACAGTCTTAAGTGGAAGGACCTCCCAGGGGGGTCTCCGGAGTGAGAGCAAGCAACATCTCCTCAACCTCTGCTCCCGGATCCCCCTCCATGTCTCCTATCTAGTGGAGGCCCATGTCCCCCAGTCACTGATCTGGGGTACATACCCCTTCCTAGAGGATGGCGCCCTCTCCTTGTAAGGCCCTCTCACTGAGCTGACCCCTGACCTGTACTGTGCTCCTGGACAGCAGCTCCCGGGTGTCTGGAGATGACGGCACAGTGGATCCTATGCCGTGCTCCCCGTGACGGCACTGCTGTGCAGAGATGCTCCCTCCAAGGTGTCATAGGACACAGACTTTGTAGTGGTGGGTCAAACACTCTTGACCCTCAGTGGCAGGACAGCCAGAGCCACACCCAGACGCAGCGTCTGTTCCCAAGACATGTGAATGAATGGCTGCTGCCAATGACCGCAGTGACAAAGACCGAGGAAGCCGCACAGATCATGGGAGACGAAGGAGGCTGGACAGCTCAAATGCAGTGTGATCCTGGATGGGATCCCAGACTAGAAAAACAGGCATTACAGGACAACTCTCGACAGCTGAATAAGATCTGTGGATTAGTTGACAGTCTTCGTTTCAGTATTAAGTTCCTATTTTTAATTTTTGTTTTATTTTAAATTTGGGCGGGGGGGGGGTGGTTTCTGAACTCATGTCCCTGAGATCAAGACCTGAGCTGAAATGGAGAGTCAGACACTTAATCAACTGAGCCATCCAGGTGCCCCTAATTTCCTGTATTTAATAATTATACTGTTGGGGCCTCTGGGTGGCTCAGTCAGTTAAGCGTCTGCCTTCAGCTCAGGTCATGATCCCAGGGTCCTGGGATCGAGTTCCATATCAGGCTCCTTGCTCAGTGGAGAGCCTGCTTCTCCCTCTTCCTTTCCCTCTATGCGTTCTCTCTCTCTCGTGAATAAATAAATAAAATCTTTTAAAAAACTATTATACTGTTGCTATAAAGGATGGGGAAGCTGGGGGAACCATATCTAAGCATTGAGAATGGCAACTTTGCTGAGGTATAGAATTTATATACCATAAAATTCACCCATCTTGAATGTCCAACTCAACGACTTTTAGTAAATTCGCCCAGCTGTGCGAAGGATCACCATGATTTGGTGTTACAGCAAATTCATCATCCCAGCAAGCTCAGCCCCAGGCTACCTGAATCTTTTCTGTCTTTACTGGTTTGCCTTTTCTGGACATTTCACATAAAGGGATTCATTCATTCTTGTTACACGTGGTTTTTGTGTCCATTGCGACTCAGCACACTTTTGTGACCTTTGTCCTCTTTTCAGAGTTTTTTGTAGGTTTTTTGTTTGTTTGTTTGGTACATCTGAGGTTCTAGCTAAACCAAAAGGCAGAAAACAAAAAAACAAAAACAAAAACCAAAAAAAAAAAAGGAAGAAAAAAGATGACTCACCATCCTTTCCTGGCGTGGGAGGGACAGACGTAGTACCAAGTGGCTAGCTGGTCTCCAGACGTGGGCTGACTCAGAGGCTGGGCATTGGTGTCTGTCGCTAGCAGGGTGGACACTAAGCAGTGATGATGCTCGAGCTCCTGGGTGAGTCAGAGGCATGCTGCCGGGATCCTGCAGAGACGCCCCCTGACCCCTAGCTAGTCTGTTCATAAGCCCCCTTTTCTAGCACAGGGAAGGGCAGAGTGGGATGGCAGAGGCTGGCTGATGTTCCCTGTAGCTGCAGTTTGGGACTTGGTCTCTCCTTTGCTCAAGGGGTGGTGTCCCTCAGGGTGCCCTTTTTCTGGTCTATGGATGTCCTCGGGCTCCCTTTGTGAACATACTTGGCTGGTGGGCCTATCTGGCCATCACAAATACAGAGGTACATGCACTCTAGTGTGCAGGATTTAAGCAAAGTCTCTTTTACTGCACAAGCAAATATCAAAAAGAAGAAATGGCATGGGAGTGGCAGATATAACTAATAGATGGGGTTTAAAAAAATTTTTTTTTCACTACTCAGGGTCTAGCTACCCACCCCCCCACCCCGATTCTCCATCACCGAGAATAACATGACACAGTAATGGGCTACCTTGAAGATGACAGTAAGTGGTTGGGCTCTGCCCCCCACAGTGCAGAGAAGTAGCTAGGTATTTAAGAAAATACGGAACCCATCTGAAACCTTGACATTCAAGACAAGACAGCGGGTGATGGTGTGTCAGGAGGGAGAGATCCAAAGATAGTTCAGCAAGCACTCACCTTGGCTGTTTCAAGGGAAGCTACCACCTCCGTAACTTGAATATAGAATGCCAGCTTTTCCTTTGGCAGTCTTGAAAAGTTCTGCTTTCCAGGGACAGGAACAAATGGAGCCTCCTGCACAGGCCTTGTCGAGCTACTAGTCCCCGGGCCATTGCCTTGTGGCTTCTGCTCCTTCCATGCCTGCAGGCTGGCCAGGACCTGTGGCCTGGAGCAGGGAAGACACTGGACCGCCCTCTCCCGCCCCCGGGTCCAACAGCTCTGGCTCTAGCTGTTGTCATTATGGTTTTGCAGCACACCGTGTATCCTTCCCTTCCCCTCACGCAGGCCAACTCCCTCAGAGATCAGCATTCCAGGACACAGATATGAAGGCGGATGGGTGAGTTCTTTGTCCTGCGGTTTCTAATGTGGGAAACAAAGGCGGAAGAAAAATTATTAAATATCCGTATTAGCTATAGCCCATTGACAAATCCTTGAAACAGGCAGAGTGACATTCTTCTAGGGACTCAAGGGCCTCTATGCTAATACTTTGCTAAGGGCAAAAGGCAATCTTACCCCAATGCCCAGGACTCTGTGAGTCTACTTTAACATACAAAAATTCCTTTGGAAACTTCCTTTATCTCTAAACACCCCAAAATATGTGTTGGCAATCATCCCCCAAACATACAGCCCACCGATAAACATTTGAAGGGTCTCGTGACTCAGGTTTTATGAGACAGTAATAAATGACCTTGTCTCAACAACAGCCAGCCCTCTCAAGGTCCTGGATACCTTGCTTCTGAAATTCCTTAGTCACTTAACACTACCCCCTCACCCCCTCCCAACCTGAAAGTGTATAATGGGCTGCTCCTCACAACCCCAGTGCAGCTCTTTCACCCCACGGGTCCTGTCCCTGTGCTTTAATAAAATCACCTTTTTGCACCAGAGAGGTCTCAAGAGTTCTTTCTTGACCGACAGCTTGGAACCCTAACGCCTTTCCTATGTCAGTTTCTGCTCTGGGTGAGGGTCCAAAGATCATCTTTCCCAACCTCCCCAAGAAGGTCTGTAGGCACTAGCTAGCCTCTGGGGCTGGGCTTAGGGCAGCCACTCAGCCAGCCAGTTCTCTTTGAAACACAAGCACAGCCAAGAGGGAAGAGGGGCAGGTGCATTACCAGTGTGAAGACAAAAGGGGAAGGGTGGGTCCATCATGTGATGACCCCCACAGTGGACAGTGACAACAGTGGGTGGGTGGGTGGGCTGGAGCATATGTTCTTCTAAAAAAAAGCGGGGGGAGGACACCAGATAGGACCTAGGGGAGTGGGGTGTTTGGAGGATAAGTCTCAGGGCTTCCAGTAAAACATCTCAACTGTTGAAGACCTAAAGTATCCAAGTCACCAGGTCCAACTTCCTCCCTCCCATTAGACATAAGGACGGGGTGGGGGGTACACAAGAGGGGAGAGGCTGGTGGCCCCAAATTCCACCCTCCTACCCGTGATCAGGTAATAAAAGTTACTCTGAGGTAAATCAGACCAAATGTCCCTCCTTCCACCACCACGCAGCGGGCAAGCAGCTCCATCCCGGATGGACACCAACTACCCAAGAAGTCACACGTCGGTCCCCCACCCACCCTGCTGGCGCGGCCACGTGAGGTCCAAGACACAGGCAGTTTCCATACTAGCAAAATACTTTTATTATTTTATAATGATAAAAGAAGGAAAGTAAAGATTTCTTTTTGGTGTATACCAGAGTTAAGGGCAGTAGAAGAATAAGGGAATTAATGGGATTTTTATGTACTTTGATGACAATAAAAAGTTAACAATACCAACTGTTTGCCATAAAACTTATCATACTCCCCCAAAACACATATATAAAGGATCATAGTTTTAAAATCTATAAAAGTAAAAAATATACAGTCAGAAACTCTAACGCTTATTTCCTCTTTAATATAAAATTGTAAACATTTATTTACACAAAGCAAATGTGTATAACAAAGTCCGAGCACCCTTCTTTTGAGTCATGGCTCCTGGAAGAGGGGATTTGCACTGAAGCGGAGACGTCTCCTCCCCTGACTCCCCAAAAACCAGATTCATAAATAAAGCCACGGGCAGCTCCCTGGGGGGACCCCAAGCATCACATTTTATTGCTCTGACACTGCAGCGAGAAGCCTGCTGTCTGTCTGGCGGCCCGAGGACTAAGGCAGGGGCAGCCCTCCCCAGGAGGCGACAGAGGTGAGCAGCCAGAGGCAGACCAGGAGAGGAACAGGACCCATCACCAGCCTTCAGCCCTCTATTTTTGGTAGAAAACCCGCTGAAGTCACCCTCTTCCCCTTCAGATTGGGGAACTCACGCAGAGGGTGGAGTCTTCACTGGCTTTATGATTCATTCCCTTCTTTGAAAGCTAAATTCAGCATCTGGGAGGGCAAGGGAGGGCATTTAAAGGGGAAATGGCCCAGACACCACCCAAGGTGGCAAATGGCTATTATAGAGAAGAGGATCTGAGGGTCCAAGTACCCCCAGCAAAGGCACTGCTGGTGCAGAATTACCCCTGTGTGCACAACCCTTCGTCCCCTCAAAAGCCACTCAGGCTGCCCACGCAGATTATCTTCCCTGGCTCAATTCTTTACATAGGACACTCCTTGAATCATCTACTTTGAGACTCCAGGGAAATAAACACGGGGTTTCAGTTTGTCCCGAGACCACTCTGCATGGAAGCCACTCTTCTCAGTGTCCTCTCTGCTCTCCGACACTGTTTAAAAGGGTCTCACCCTGCACTTACCACTCTGCTTTCATTCTAACCCAAGTGCTCTCTCCATCTGTGTTGTCCAGAAACAGCCCACAGGGAATCCTGTTTTGCGGACTTTTAGCTTAGTCAAGTCCATAGACCTTCAGAGAGACATCCACTCAAATCCCGAGAAGGATATATTAGTGTTATAAAGCCATTCTCTTCAAAAAGTGCAAGTCATCTGGCGTGGGAGAGTGGCCAAAGTGGTGAAACCAAGTGGAATTCTCTTCTCCAGCCTGGCCTGCACCCCTCCCCCTTCGGGGCCCCCACACTCCTGGCTTTCCCTCCTTCCCCCGCACCCTTGCCTTCTGGGGAGGGGACGCCCTCCCACCTACAACGCTGGGGCTCCCTAAGGGATTTTAGTGACTCCCCACCAATCTGGTACACTGCCTTCAAGAGGTTTTCCATTTGGGCTGGAGCAACAAAGAGGGGAGGCAGGAAGGTCACAGGAACTGGAGACGAGGTGAGGACCTCTGCGCGCAGCTCAGCTAGGATCACCTTCCTGATACAGCAAATCCCAGTTTTCAGAGAAACTGCAGAAGGAGGGCAAAGACACAGACACAGGCACCCCAAACATTCCATTTCAGCACGTAGCCTGGGGGCAAGTCATGAGTGTCGACCCAGAGGGCGCAGCACTGTGGGAGGAGGAAGAAGGCGAGTGGCTGGAGAGGCCACATCTGTGTTCCCAGCGCTGCCACCTCGTGGCATCCTGTTCCTTTTTGGCACATACAGTCACAGGCTGCGCTGACAGAAATTATCTCCCAGGGACCCTCCCTCTCCCCTGAAAAGCAGACAAAGAGCAGGAATAAGAAAGGCTCTTGACCACAAGGAAACCCTCAGTTCCCAATGCCAATCAGTTTAAACCACCACCTATCCTAATCGGTCTTCAAATCTTTAAAAACATTTTTTAAAATCTTTTCTATGCTACAAATTGCGAATGGTTCTGCTATACAAAGTTGCAACGAAACCTGTCCCCAGCCTTGGGGCAAGTGGTGAAATCTTGGATTATCAACACGATGGCACACATCGTGGGGTTTCACCGTCATTATTCTTGGGGTTTTTTTTGGTCATTTAGATAGAAAACCACCTGCAGAACCCTGTCCTGCTGTCCCGACACCAGGCAGTGGATGCCAGCAGAGGGGCTGGGGCCAGCCCGACGGACCGCAACTGCTGGCTGGGAGCTGGAGGTGGGGGGGGGCGGTCCCCGCAGATCCTGGCCAGGGCCCGCTTCGGCCCTGGGGCTCCAATCCCACACCTTAGCCCTGTTCTCTGGGCCACGAGCTTTTGGTCCAAAGTAGTTGATATTTCTTGAATCTGAGAACAAAAATACAGGCTGTACGAACACCGAGAACACTGCAAACCCTCCAGTTACTGAGGCCCTAAAAGGTCATCCAAATCATTCATCCACTCTTCCGAAGTCCTGTTCTTCAGCAGGGAGTCGATCAGGTCGGCATCTCCGGCCATGCTGGCCAGCCCACTGGCCCCCGGCTGCCCGCTGTAGGCAAAGGGCAGCTCCTGGCCCGCGGTCCGCACAGAGTATGCCTGAGTGCAGTGCAGTCCCGCCCGGCCTCCCATGGGTGGTGCCGGGCTCTGGCTGAAGGCCCCCAGCTCAGGCCCACCGGGGCTCAGGCCCGGCAAGCCTGGCTGTGGGGCTCCCTGGGGAGGTGCTGGGGCGGGGGCACTGGTCCTCTGCTGCGCACTCACTGGGGGCAGCATGGACCCCGCCGCGGCTGCCGAGCTCATGGGGGCCATGGGCCTGCTGGGCATCGCCTGGGAGAATTGGGGGCTGGACATTTTCATGTGGGCCTGCTGCATGTGGAAACTGGAGGCTGCCGTGAAGGGGCTCACGGTGCTGCTCCCCGGGGTCTGGCTGCTCAAGTTTGGCAGGCCCTGATGTGGCCACGAGGCGTTCTGGGCTCCCACAGTGGCTGACACCCTTGGGACCTGTGGCTTGGTTAAGCCAGAGTTCATAGTCCCCTTATTGTGCTGCTGGGAGAGGCTGGAGTTCCCCAGAGAGTTCTGCCCGTAGGCAGCGGAGACAGAGGTGTTCTGGCCCAGGCCGGTCTGCCGTGCAATGTGGGCATGTCCGTTGGTGGCCTGTGGCGGCGGCTGGGCAACGATCTGGGTGATGCCGGAGGCCATGCCGTAGAGACCGCCCTGCGGCAGGCTTTGGGAGCCAGTGAACTGAGCCACACCCCGGTCCTGCGGGCCTGAGTTTGAAGGGAGAGAGGAAACCGAAGTGTGTCCAGGGCCCATTGGCATCAGATTCCCAGCCTGAGGGAACCCTCGAGGACAGCTGGAGTTAGATGGCCCCAAGTTGTTCATGCCAGGCACAGCACCAGAGGACCCTAGAAGGCAGAGAAGAGCCAGTCAATTGAGCTGGCATTTCTGGGCCCGCTGCCACCGAGAGGCTCTAGGACCCCAGCTGCAGGCACTGTTCTCTGGCGTGAAAGGCCAAATCAGAACACCAGGTATCTTAAGGTCAGTGGACCCTCAAAGAAGACGGCCCTGTGGGCCAAAGGGGAGCAGGTTTCCCATAGGGTGGAATGGAGGCCAGTCTGGAACAGTGATGAATTTAAGACCAGCTCAGAGGAGGGGGCCAAAGCCCAGGGCGGGGGAAGCCAGGAGACTTAATGATTCACCCGTCAAAGGCCCACTCTGTTTCTGCTCCGTGGGAGCCCCACACCAGCACGGCGGACTCCAAGAGAGATATGGCCCAGGGTCTGCCTCAGGGAGGCAAAGGCTCTGTGGTATGACAGGGTGGTAACAACAGCTGGCAGGGCAGGGGACCAGAGGCTCAGTGCCTTGGAAGATCTGGGGACGGCTTCAGAAAAATGGTGACAAAGACATCGGGTTTTCAAAGGGATGAATTGAAAAACTGATTCCAACAGTTTGGAGAAACAGAATATTCTAGACAGAGAAGAGAGTGTGAAAATGCCAGAGTTATGAGAGGTGGTCTGTGTGGGGAGCTCTGTGGCTGGGGTATGGGGAGGGTGTCCCCACAGGCTGGGGATACAACTGGACAGAGAGCTGTGGCCAGACTCAGGGAAGCTGCGGGGGGCATGTCAAGGGCAGGAATGCAGGGCAACAGGGCAAATAGATGGCAACAGTGGTTCTAGGCCCAGGCAGTGGTTACTCAGATCACTCAGGTGAGGGGTGCACAAGCTGCTGGCACCGTCGGGATGAAAGAGGGAGGGTGTGAGGTCCTCTCATATTCCTGGAGGGATGGCCCGAGCAAGGGCAGTCAGGTTCCCATGCACATCTGAGATGTGACAGCTGAGACCTCAGAGTGCTATCTGCCTGTGACACCAAAGTGAGCCGACAGGAAGAAAGAGAAGCAGCAAAAAGGCCACATAAACTACCCCAAGTCTCTCCTTAACTGGAAAACGAGAGGGTCACTTTTTGAAGGCATATCACAGCAGAAACAAAGAGCTTTCTTAAGAATTACAGAACCCATTTCCTGTTGGTTAGCTATCCTCCAGCCAGAAATGATTTCACTTCAAAAGATTGTGTGGCCAGAGTGCCCGCCAAAGTGGTCTGCCCCTGCGACCCTTTCCCCCGACCCTGGGCCTGCAGGCTCTACCGGCACACTGATGTTTACACAAGCCAGTTGATCTAGTTAGCCCCTAGCAGGAAGCCATGCAGACAGCAAGAGCCACCCACTGCGTCCCGTGTTGCCTGCGCCGACTCCGCGGTCCCCTCACCTGGGAACTGTCCAACCTGCTGGGGGAAGGTGCTCTGGGATGGGTCCTGGTACTGGGGAGGTGGGCGTGTCAGGTGCCGCTGAAACTGCTGCTTCTCCTAGAAAATGCCAAGGATGGAAGAACAAAACAACAAGACCCACATAAAACAAAAACAATAGAGTCAGAGCAGACAAAAGCACACCCCTATGTTTGTTACTCACGGATGCGTTCCTGTGGACACAATGCTTGTGGTTTCGTTTGGGGGATTTTTAATAAACTGTGTGAAACAGAACAATGGCACAGACCTAAGGAGCAATGATTTTAAAAAGAAAACAAAAACAACAGCGGTGTATTGGTTTAAAAGAAGTTGGGTGGGGAGCACCTGGGTAGCTCAGTCGGTTGGGTGTCCCACTCTTGCTTTCGGCTCAGGTCACGGTCTCAAGACCGTGAGATGGAGCCCCATATCAGGCTCGGAGCTGGGCATGGGGCCTGCTTAAGATTCACTCTCTCCCGCTGCCCCTCTCCCAAAGCTGGGAGGGCAGATCAGGCAAATGCGAATCAAAGCCACAGTGCCATACCACTTCACGCCCACCAGGATGGCGAGAACCAAAAGACAAGTACGGGAAAGCTGAAGAGAGACTGGCGCTCTCACGCCACTGTGGGCATGTAAAATGGCATGGCCGCTTGGGAGAACAGTCTGGCAGCTCCTCGCAGGGCACCAAGTAAGAGCTACCACAGGACCCAGCGATTCCTGGAATACACTCAACAGAGCTGAAAACCTCCAACCATAAGAAGGGGGAACAACCCAAATGTCACCAACCGGTGAATGGATAAATCAAATAGAGCTTATCCACAAAAGAGAGTACTGCTCAGCCACGGGAAACACTGGTGTGCACCGCAACACAGGTGGTAGCTTTTTTTTAAGATTTTATTTATTTACTTGACAGAGAGATCACTAGTAGGCAGAGAGGCAGGCAGAGACAGGGGGAAGCAGGCTCCCTGCTGAGCAGAGAGCCTGGTGTGGGGCTCGATCCCAGGACCCTGAGATCATGACCTGAGCCGAACGCAGAGGCTTAACCCACTGAGCCACCCAGGCGCCCCAACAGGTGGTAGCTTTTAATGGGTATATGGCTTCTTTTTAGGGGCTGAAAACGGATGAAATCGACTGTGGTGATGGTTGCACTCCTGTGTGAGTATAGTAAAAACCACTGAATTATACACTTCAAATGGGTGGATTCAAGGTCACATGACTTGAGCCCCAATAAAGCTGGTATTTTTAAAAATGGCAGAACTGAGGCAGAGATGTGGGCTTTAAAGTCATTCTCAATCACCTTTGTCTTCTGGGTAGCTGCTGCTTCTCTTACGACTTTAAAGATGGAATCTGAAATCCCGAGCACTGCTGTCACCTTGGTGTCTGCGCACCAGACTTGGGGACCGAGCAGGTGAACCGCAGGATATGAGGTGGGTGGGTGGGGCTTGGCAGGCCCGATTCTAGAACTCGAGGGCCGCAGGGACATTTCCATTTGCCTGTGTCATATTCTGGCTCATCACAAACTACGCTTACGACAAAGCTGGATCCCACATTGAACCAGGAGACCAAGGAGCTCAGTGCTCTGGCAGCTGCAGACACAGGACATGGAAAAACATCCCTAACAAATATAGTTTAAGCCACAGATTTGCCTTCACGAATCCCCACCAAGTGATTTGAAAGCTGCTTCTGACACAGGCCACCACTGCCTGAGAAACGCCACATTCCTGAGAAGGGGCTGAAAAGGGCAAGGGGGGGGCACCTGGGTGGCTCAGTTGCTCAAGGGGAGTCTGCTTGAGTCTTTCGCTCTAAAATAAATAAATCAATCTTTAAAAAAAAAATTTAGGGGCACCTGGGTGGCTCAGTGGGTTAAAGCCTCTGCCTTCGGCTTGGGTCATGATCCCGGGGTCCTGGGATAGAGCCCCATGTCGGGCTCTCTGCTCAGCGGGGAGCCTGCTTCCTCCTCTCTCTCTGCCTGCCGCTCTGCCTGCTTGTGCTCTCTGCCAAATGAATAAATAATCTTAAAAAAATAATAATAAAATAAAAAAAATTTAGAAAGGGCACACGCAGCAGGCCCATACACAGGCGCACGCACGCACGCACAGTGGGGCTGACGGCCGAGCAGCGACACCGGAGGCAGATGAAGATGCAGCTGGCGGGGGTCGTCTTCCCCTCTCGCTCTACCTGTTCTGCCAGAAGGTGCTGCTGCCTCTGTAAGAACTGCTGCTGCTGCAGATGCTTTTGCTGCTGCTCCCTCTGTTTCTGCTGGTCCAAAAGCAAGTGATGCTGCTTCATGACTGCCGCCTGCTGCTGACTGCTGAGATAGGGGGCGCTGCTGCGCGTGCTGGCCGCAGATGCCGCGGGTGGCTGGCTCCCCACGCCACCTGCGGGGGCAGCCACAGGGACGCTGGGCGGGTTCTGCTCCTGTGAGTGCAGAGAAGGGGGGGGTCTCAGGTCAGGGGGCACACAGTGGAGTCTACAAGCTTCTGCCCAACGCCCCCGACCCAGTCACTGCAGAGCCAAGGGCACACGTCCTCCAGGGCCAGGTGGAGAGGCGAACACCCGCGTATCCCGGCACAGCAAGAAGATTTGAAATCTAAGCCCGTCTATTCACACGCATGACGCCCCGTCGGCAGCCGGAGCTTCTAAATCCTCACTTTCTGGAATGCGTGAGTACAGATGGGCCCCCAGAGGAGGAACGCTCTGCCAGATGGAGACAAGATGTTCCAAGCCAGCCAACCTCATGTCCCCCGCCATGGGACTGTCCCTGAACTGCCTGAAGCCGTACCACGTGTCTGTCTGTGTAGAGCATTTTCCTGGGACCAGACTGCTGGGCTTTTGTCAGATACGCTCACAAAATACTGAATATCAATGAAAACTTGAATAAATATTCTCAACACAAAGGGTAGAAGTGAGAGTCATGTCAGAGGCTCCACAGTATTATCCCATCATGACTTACATTTAAAAGGGGGGAGACTGGGGAGCCTGGGTGGCTCAGTGGGTTAACCCTTTGCCTTTGGTTCAGGTCATGATCTCAGGGTCCTGAGATCGAGCCCCGCATTAGGCCCCCTGCTCGGCAGGAAGCCTGCTCCACCCCCCAACTCCTGCCTGCCTCTCTTCCTACTTGACATCTCTGTCAAATAAATAAATAAAATTTTGTAAAAAAAAAAAGAAAAAAAGGGGGAAACTTAACTTGAAAAGGGAAAAAGGGAAAAAGCAATGATCATTTAAAGGATCTCAACTTTCCAGTCCTTATGAGCCTGGACATTTCATCCTTACAAGAGTCTAATCTTCGAGCAGATGCACCGAGGTAATTTGCTCACCCCCCCCCCCAAGTCTCCAGGCTCAGGCTCCGAGTGCTTTGTGAGGCGCTAAGCACTGGCAGTTGTCACACTCTTAAGGATGCTCCCAGGGGCTGTGCAGAGCTTCTTGGCTGGCAACGGCAGCAGCAGCATCAACATTTACATGCGTGCACTCCTGCTGGGAGATGCCCAATCTGCTTCCAGTTTGGGGCAATTAGAAATAACGATGCAATGAATATCCTGTATCTAACTTTCCTATTTTTTTAGGGATTGTTTCTTGCAGGGGTATAATGTGTTGATGCTTACGAACAATTTTATGGCTTAAGAAGAATATCTAATGCCAAATTACTTCCTACCAGCACCAGGCCTGTGTATACACCCTCCTCACCAGGAGGACATTGACTTCCCAATTTTTATCATTACCAACACTGGGATTTTAATATTTAAAATTTCATAAATCCACACCGGAAGCCACAAGGGTACTGGCCGCAGGCTTCCTTATAGTCATGAAGACCCAGAGACGACGGGGTACACCAACACGAGGGCATGCCTCAAAACTGTGGCTACACGACTGGTAACAAGTATCAAGAGAGCTACATGTCCAGACACGAAGGACAGTCCGGGACACGCTGTGGAGGGAGAAAACAAGTGCGCTCCCCTCTGTCCTGGAGGAAGTTGTGGGGACACGCCATCACCGTGAGAAGGTTGCCAGGGAAGAGACATCTTTGAACACATCTGACCATGAGGAGAAATGCAAACAGTGATCATGGTAAGACTGGTGCTTGACCATTCTCCACCCTACAGAGCTCTGCCAGGCTGCACGGGGTTTAAATCTTAAGGTACTTTGCGAAGATCTGAAAGGTGGTTTAAAATTAAAAAAGGCAAAGCCTCTAAGAAGCACATCAAGTGTGACCTCTCCCTGCAGAACACAGACCACACCTGACTGAATTTACACTGCATGGTAGGCAGGAGAACTCAATGCCTCCGCCCAGGTGCCCGGTGATGCCTCAAACGTATGGATACTTTAAACCAAGTTACACCAGGGAATTCTACCTTATTTTTGCTTATTCAGAATCGAGCCCACTTTGCTCAGCTGATTTTCTCCTTCCAGGGACTCAAAGGCCAAGGGCAGCTGTTCCCTGCCTCCCTCCTGCTGACCGCAGGGGTACACAGTGACAGAGAGGGAAGCTGCGAGCTCACCTGGTTAGGTGGAACCAGTGACCGGAAGGGCATGTTTCCTGGCTTTGGTTTCATCAGAAACAAGGAGTTCTGCTCATTGCTCAGATGAGGCAGCTGCTGGGGAAGGTAAGCCATGAGGGCGGTCTTGCTCTGGCCGGACGCGGGGCCGCCTTGCCCGCAGTCGGCTTTGTAATGAGACAGGGGTTTGGTGTTGCCGTAGTCCAGCACTGAGCCCTGGCTAGGCACGGTGCTCTGATTCAGGTTACTTGACGGTGGGTGACTCAGCAGGTTCACATGGCCAGCCTGGAGGTAGGGGCCTCCGGGCCGCGGGGAGCTCTTGTTCACTCCGGGCATCATAAGCAGTTTGGGGCTGGTAAAGTCTTGCTTGTAGCCGGGAGGGCTGGCAGGCTTCTCCAAGGGATAAGGGACGTTCAGGGGGCTGTGGGAGGGGCCTGTCTGCTGCCATGGGGACATCTGGCCTGGGGCTGGTGCAGAGGCGGCCGGCTGTGGGTTTTGGAGCATCTGCTCGCGCTTCTGCTTGGCAGCAATCTGCTGCAGCTGGTGGGCAGAGGACAGCTCCGAGGCCCCTCCCGGGCCCTGGCTGGGCAACACCACACCAGAGAGGGCTCTTGGGGTATTCTGGGCCTGCACTGATGCTGGCATCAGGGTGGGACTGGGGTTGTCAGCCCCGGGCTGACCAGAGGCGTGGAACAGAGGTTGAGCGCCCCCCAGGCTGGGTGACTCTGTGCTGCCAGGGCCAGCTGAAGGCCCCATAAAGGTCTGTCCTGCAGACCCAGCCCTCACTTGTGGAGAGCCTAACTGTTCTTGTTCGAAGGCTGCCGGAGAGAATTCTGTCTTAATATTAATGTCCTGTGCCAATGGGGTCTGTGTTGCCGACCCAGATGACTCTGGGTCTTTCTTCTCTTCAAAGTCCTCATTAAACAGATCCTTCATGTCTTCATCGGGCACTGACCTGTTCAGCTCCTCGATAAGCTCCTTCCACTCCTGCTCATTAAGGTTGAGGTCAGGCATGAGGTTGCTCTGAGATATAGAGCCCCCGGCCCCTGCGATCATGCAAGGCAGGTCATCGACGGGCTCTTGCTTCAGCTCTTTATTCAGGCTCAGAGGAAAGGGCTCCCCGGGGTTGCTGCCCCCGTTCAAGTGGAGGCTCGCATCTGCCAGACACTTCTTGCTAAGGGAGTCCAGCCCCAGGGAGTGCTTGCTGCCAACCTGCAGTGCCTCGGTGCCGGGCTTGTCAGGCTGCCCCATGGGGGAGGCCGGGGGCAGGCCATTGGAAGCAACGGCTACACCCAGAGGAGCCTCACGCCGGGTCTTCTTGTGTCCAGGAAAGAGGTCTCCATAGCCATTCTGCTGCTCGCCATTCTGAGGAGAGGTGGTGCTATCGAGGTTCCTCTTCACCGTATCGTGGAGATGCTGCAAAACATGGACAAGAGGGACTTAAGACACAGCATCGTGTAGGAGGCCCCTCCGCGTCTGTTGGTGACGTCAGTCGGGGCCCACATCCCACAACACTCTAATGATTGTGCTTGTCCAGTTCGTGCTCCCTCCACCCCCACTACCCTTCTCCCGGGTCCCATGGCTGGGCCTGACTCCCGACCACTACCTGCGCTCCAGGAAAGTGAGCACGCGTCAGTCAGCACATGGATCCTGGCTTCTGGGGCCCTCTCTTCCCACAGGACGCAAGCCTGATGCTGCCCATAGTCGTCTAGTCAGAGAGTGTGCCCAAGAATGGAGCCGATGAGAAAGAACCAGAAGATACAGATCCGTTCTCGAGGGCGCTACCTAAGTCCAGTTTGTACAGGAGACCATTGCCCCTGGACTTTTCACTTCAGGGAACCAAAGAATTCCTCCTGTGTTTAAGCTGATTTAACGCGGATTTCTATCGCTTTCCACAGGAAGGAGCACTGGTTGCTAGCGGCTCCTTCTCAGGCCTCAGTGGGGGCAGCTCATGAGCACCAGGCCACGCTTCCTGCCCTGTGCAGCTTCTCGAGGAGCCACTGCCTGGCCCCATCCCTTCTCCCCAGGCAGGGCTGCTCCCATGTGCCCACCCTCCTCCCTGCGGCAGGCCAAGCAGCTTCCAATCCCCTGTGCCCAGTCACGAGCCCCAACAAACCCCACTTCTTATCAGAAGCATTCCTCTGAGCACAGCCAGTATGCCTTACATTGCTGTCCTTGCTTCCCCCTCTTCTCCTCAGAGGGTTTGTTCAGCTAACCTTCCTAACAGTCCACCTTGTGCGGGAGGACAAGGGCTGTGTGCAGATCAAGACAAAAGTGGTGGTTGCTGTGGAATTCATGCGCCACAGAACCCAAGCAGACACGGCTACAGAAGAAGACAGAGGCCCTCCAGAAACAGCTGAGCAACCGCGCCCTGAGACGGGGCTCCAGATGCAGGGGTTTCGTGAAGAGAATGCGACAATGAGAGTGGGGAGGAGAGAAGGTGGTATCGTTCCACTCCTTCCCCAGCATTGTTTTCAGCTCCCGGGACAGGACTCCTCCAAGTGGAGGTACCTACACTTAGCTCTTAACAGGGTGCTACTCCTTTCCAGGCTTACTTTGGTTACATTTTTGTCCTTCACCCTTCCTCCCACTGACCCCAAGCATCTACACCACGCTATTTACATAGTTCCGAATGGTAGCTTTCATTGTATCTTTAAATAGCCACCAGAGGAGTCGGTAGCACCTAGAACTCCAGAACGCTGTCCTCCGGCTACAGAGAAGGGCTACACAGACCCAGTGCAGCATCCCGAGAAGCCTGCGTGCGTGAGCGCTCTGACCCGGGCTCCTGCCTAGATACAAATGCGCAATGAGCAAGGAAACAAGGAGGGCAAATTTTCTCAATCTGGAGTTCCAATTCCATTGCTCCTTTGCCTTTGTTTATCCCCACTTCAAGATTTCCCGCTTTCTCTACTGTTAAAGCCCACTGCACAGGGCTCTATAAATCCTGGCTGAGTCTGTATTTCTCTAAATCCGTGTCTGGGTACCTAAGTTAGCTCCTAAACACTTAAGGATACTCAATAGGTGGAACAGTAGGGCAGTGGTGTAAGCTGATCCTAGGACCCTACAAGAAGACAGCGGCCTTCCTTTCATGTGGGTTCTTCTGCTTCCTGCTGCCACCTAGGGGTGGGAGCGGGGAAGGGACCCATGCTCTTAACATGGACCTTCCTAAGATCTACTGTTGGGAAGTTTCCTTTGGGGAAGTCAATTCATAGCCATTTAATCCGTCACAAGGAAATCAAAATGAGTTCATTTTCCTTGGATTTTTTAATCTTTCTATTATTTCTTTTTGGAAAATCATTTGTTCCTCAGTGTCAGCTTGGGGCCATCTGTGAACCTGGGAGCTCAGTTTTCCACTCTCCTAAGAGGGAAGATGGAAATCTAGGAGGTCAGGACACTTGATGAGTCAGCTGGTTGTCCCAGATTAGAAACAGAATCTTTCTTTGCCTGAATCATTATAAAAGCCACCACTCCCTCTTTCAATATCTGCATGCAAACAGCTGCAGACAAGTTCCAAAGGAACAACTCAATTTTGCAATCCCATTACTTTCGGCCAAAGGAAACAGCAGGTCATTTTCTCAACTGCTCACAAAGTGTACCTGGGATGATGTAGGCGGGGGTGAGGAGTGTGGAATGTGGTGGCCCTGGCAGATTTTTCAATCTGGAGCATTTGCAGGAATGCCTGATATGTGCAGGGCACTGGAGAGGAAGACGAAGATGGGTAAACCATGGAGACTAACCACCAGGAATTTACAACAGAGTGGGCAGACAGCCTGAACGGATTATAAATTATATAAGAATAAACAGTGTAAGAGACATAAAGCATCCAAAACTGGCTGCCATGGATAAACACACGGACTTGCTCTCAGCAGATCTGGTACTTGTGGGTGCTCAGTGCAGAGGCTCCCGTCCTAACCATCAGGGTTCCAGGAGGATCTGGTCCTGGACAACGTGATCTGATGTTCATTTCCTTTGCAAGGGGGTTTTGTTAAAGGGTACCAAGTACCTGATGCTAAGCTGGAGGCCCTGCATGCTCACCCAGTCTTCCACCAAAGGACCCTGCAGGCCTCTACCACCCACCACTGAAGTTCCAGTGCACTTTCTGGTCAGACTAACCACAGGCTAACACCTGTACTCTTGCACTGAGCTAACAAACACGTGTGGCTGCTTAAGACAGGGGTGGCTCTCTCCTCCATATTCCTTACATGTGGGTAGTGACCTGGGGCAGCACCAGTGCTTCCTGCTCCTTCTCAGATCCTCTTTTCCTCGGTCATCCTTCTATCAGCCAAACACGACTCCCTAACCCCCGTCTGGAGAGTCAATACCCTGACCCACTGCAATATGGGTTCCATCCTCTGGGGATGCTGGGTGCGGATGAGTAGAAGGGAGAATTTAGGGCTGCTTTCCCTGAGGCCAGCAAAGACCTTGGTGCTGTTAAATGCAGTCCACAATTTCAGTCTTTCCCTCCATCATCTGCCTCTTAATAATTCCCTGCATTTTAAAGTTCTCTATCCTCCTATTTCTTTACCACATTATCTTGCTTTCTCTTCTACTTTTCTGGTTGTTTCTTCTAGTCTCCTTTGAGATAGGTCTCCCCTTCAAATGAGTATGGGAGTCCTCTTTTTTTTTAATTTTTAAAAAAGATTTATTGATTCATTTGAGAGAGAGAGTGTGCATGCGAGTGTATGAGCAGGGGGGAGGGGCAAGTGGCGAGAGAGAGAAAAGCCCAAGCAAACTCTTCACTGAGCACAGAGCCCAACGAGGGGCTCACTTCCACAACTCATGAGATCATGACCTGAGCCGAAGGCAAGGGTTGGACACCCAAATGAGCCACCCAATTGCCCCCTCTTGTATTCTATACACACTCTGATCTTATCTACTCCCATGGCTTCAAACTCCTATGACTGAACATCACACTCAGAATAGACCCAACTGTCAGGGATCAAGTGCTGATCTATCAGCCCTCACCCTCCATCCAACCCCCTTTTCCATGCTCCCCACGGTACAGCACACTGAGTCACACCAGCCTTCTTACAGTTTCTCAAATGTGCTGTCTGCCTCAGGGCCTTTGCACTTGTTCTCTTTGCCCAAAACACTTCTTCCCCATCTCCCTAGGAGCACATAATTTGGGTCCCTCATCTCCTAAAAGTCATAGAACGACTATTCTCCATCTCTCCAACCTATCTCCTTGCTAAGTCCCCCATGGAGGCACTCACGTGAATAAGCCGAGCTTCCCCCATTAGAATGAAAAGCAGAAACCCACTACCTAGAACAGTGCCTGGCACTCAATAAGTATTTGTGAATGAATGTGCTCCTACCCACCATGTCGACAGAGCTCCAGACCCCCGTCTGTCCAACCACCCACCTGATGTGCAGGGTATACCACAGATAATCCAGACTTAATCTGTCCCAACCTGAAGCAGCCTCTCTCCCAGCCCCATTTTCCTTTCTCTGTTCCTGTCCCCAACAGTGTCACTACCATCCACCTAGTCATATAAACCAGAACCAGAGAACAGCTCTAGCCCCTTCTTTTCCACTCCCTGCATCCAATCAACACCCTTGTCCTGCTGAGCCCACCTCCTCAGCATTCTTGGATCTATCTACACACTAACTTCTCTTGCTTGAATCATTTCAACCACGTCTACAGCCAGGCTCCTTGCAATCTCTGCCCTCAACTACATTCCGCACTACGGTCAGAGTGACTCCATCGAAGGGCAAATCTGATCCTGTCCCTCTCCTCCTGAAAGCTCTTCAATGGCACCTCGTTGCCCTTAGGTCTTGGTCACCCTCAGCTCAGCTCCGCTGTCCTCCTGGCTCCGGCACTAGTTTTAACTCTCCACCAACTTTCCCACCACACCCATGCTGTACACCAGTGCTACAGCTCCCTGGAGTGCTGCCAAAGTGTAGGCTGAAACATACAAATCCTTAACTTTTAAAGGCAGCAATTCAACCTAATACCATGCCCACTTTTCCTTCTCCCCTATGTTCTTTTTGTACCCTGTACGGACACTCAGGAACCCGGACTGTTGGTGGAAAAGACCATCTCCAGGTAAAGTCGACCTACTTTCAGGCACCATTCAAGATTTCAGTGATTTGAGGGGCAATGCGGGAAATCCGTGTCAAGTAGCAACCTCGGGAAGGCACGAGTCTGAGCCAAATGCCACAGGGCCAAGTCATTACTTCCTCAGTGGCCTTGCTGACTGCTCAGTACCTGCCCCTAGCTATTCCTCATGGTGTCAGAATCTCACGCAACCTTCAAAGGCATGCTACGAAGGAGGATCACTGGTCCTGTCTTCCAGCAGATGAAAAGTCAGATTGCAGGATGCTTCCCAAGGCGGGAGGCATTGGGGCTCAAAGGAAGGGAAGGGTCTGATGCCGACCCTCCCTCCTGGTCTGACGGGGAAGGGCCCACATCAACT